AATACATCGTAGTTATTAGATAAGATGATCTAATGGCTATAAAAATACAACATTTATTTATTCATTAAGAGTATTGTGGACATTTTAACATCTTAATAACAACTAACAACACATCCATATCCAATAACTAAATGACACGTGGCCATAATTACATCACACATCTTAACCCATTCTCTCTCTTGGTCAAACACCCACTGACACACATTTATTACACACACATCGACACACATATATTACACACACATGTTTACTCTTCCTGGAGTGAGATCAGATCATCAAACAATGTCATAAAGAAGAAGATATGCTTGGCCTTTTCTGCTACATTACAAACGGAATACACACAAATACACACATATAACTTATGTCCCCCTCACTTCGGTCCAATCGCCGCCATCCTTGTCGTCCGGTCGCCGCCGTCACTGCAGTCCGCCAGTCCGATCGCCGCCATCTTTGTCGTCTGGTCGTTGCCTTCACACCTATGTCGTCTCCGCCATCACGCCTCCGTCATCGCCGCCATCACGCCTCCGCTGCCGCGTCACTCCATCGTCATCCACCAGACTGCTGCAATGTAGACCACGGTCGTTCGGTCGTATGCCGCCAGAAAGCTCTGGCGTGTTCCACATCGTTGAAATGTCCTCCGACGCAGCTGAAAGGAAGAGAGTTAGTGTCGGAAAGATAGAGAAGGCCGATAGTGGCAACAGGGAACTCGCAATGACCGGCAAAACCAACCCGTTGAGATGGGAATCGGACAGAGAACGACGAACGACATCCAACGAGATGGTGGAAAGCTGGGGTTGAAGGCACACGCTAGGCGGCTGGCGGCGACGGCGACGACGGCTGAAGGCACTTGCGGCGACTTAATTTTTGGGATGTTCTTTTGAGAGTTTGATTAAGTTTAGGGCCTACTTGTAATTTTAAGAATTTTAATTATATTTTAATTAAGCCCACATGCTATTTTTATGTTATTTGTTATACACATGTATTAAATAATAAATAAATTATTAAATAAAATAATATAAAATAATTCATGATAATAAACAAATTATATAATAATAACAGTATTAATTAATAAAATATTTAAATTTCTGAAATTAATTATGTGAACAATGATATCTATTAAAAAATAGTTTTCGATTACACTTAATTTATATGTGATCCTATATATTTTTTCACTTTATAAAATAATATTTCTACACTTTATAGAATAACACATTGCACTTTATAAACACGATTCACAATTGACGTCAATACTTCCCGTCAAAATACAACAAAACATAAATCTAAAAAACGGATCAACATAATATTTTATCATACAACACATCATCTTCAAAAGAAAAAAAAAAAAAAAAACACAACATTGCTAACATACTAAACTTACAGTATTTTTACTTTATCCGTCACCATGTTACACTTTATAAAACAATGCATTGCACTTTATAAAACATTACAATGCACATTATCATGACAATCCACAATTAGACGTCGATAATTTCCAACCAAAATAACATGCCATATAAATATAAAAAATATATCTACATAATATTGGTAGTTTAGTCCGGTAATGACTTTATTATAATATATAGATTTCAATATATATGTATAAACTTAGTCCGGTAACAACTTTATTTTATATGTATATAGATTTCAATATATATGTATAAATTTATAATACTTTATTTACATTTGAGCATGTGTAAATCGTGTTTATTAAAAAAAGTATAATTGACAATAATGATAAGTGATAACAATTTTTAATTTAAAATTGATGTCGCTTGATGATAAGTGATAACATAGGTTGACTCAAGTGGTAAGCAACTTGATGTCCATTAAGTAAGGTTTCGGGTTCGAATCCTTGTGGATGCAGAAAACCTTTGTTGGGAGACTCACTCACCTCTGTCAGGTGTGTAACCCGGATCGACCAACTGATTAGTCGAGGCATAGCTCTAGATACCGTGACTGGCTACAAAAAAAAATTGTTAGAAAGAAATTAATAAAAGGAAATGAATCTATTAAATTAAATTGCCTTATCCATATTATTGAAAAATCTTAGAGCATGTTTGGATACAAATTCAATCCAAAAATCCGATCATTTTTAACCCAACCACTTTTTTTTAACTCAACCCACTATCATCAATATTATCAATATAATTAAATAATATCAATTAATCATTCTTACACACAACATCAAACTTAATTTACTATTCATCTACTCACATAATTTTAACTAACCATCACATCACATTTTATCTCTCATACTTTTACATCAATTTAATTTTAATTAATTTATTTTAAATCTATACTTATATTAAAAACTATACTATTTACTAAATCTAGTATGTAGAATAGTCAACCCTAATTAATGATTTGCTATTTTATCAAGCATTTAATTAATGCATCTAATATTTTTGGTATGCAAATCAAATTAGCATTTAATTAGTTCTTAAAATACTAGTGCATATCCCGTGCGATGCACGGGTAAACAATATTAAATATTTATTATAAATAGGTATCGAGTTCGAGTCACCAAATGCAAGAAGTGGGAAACCACTATCAATCCTCTCTTAAAAGAGCAAGAAAAAATAAAGATGAAGGTAAACGATATTAAATAATAATGTCATATAATTTACAGTATACACTTTATTATAAACGATATAAAATTAACTTGTTCAAGAGAACATAAAATTTGTATGTTTAAACAATTAAAAACTCATAACATATTAGCTTTATTTTATATTGAATGAAGACTAAGACAATTTTGAAAAAAAAAAATTTGTCTGTTTTTAAAACTATCCTCTTGATTTTGAACAATACATTTGTAATTTGACTTAATTATTGTAAAATTTTGAAACTTATGAAAAAAATTAAAAAGATGAATTTCATTTGATTTGAAATTCTTAAACCATTTTGAATTTCGTGCAAATTGAAACCAAAAATTTTGAAATTCATTGTGATTTTGTAATTTCAAAGAGGTTTGTTAATTTTAAAGTGACACAAAATCCTTCATTTAAGGTTATCTGTCCAAGGATAGAAGCATGTGATTAGATTTTTTTTTTTCAATTTGAACAAAATCCTTTATATTAGGAAGAGATTTTGAATTAAGCCCAATTTTATGGCAACTAATTCAAGAAGAGATTTTGAATTTCAAATTTTCAATTCAAGAAGGTAATTTTTTCGACAATCTGATTCTTTGGAATAAAAACACAATCGAAATTAATAAAGCAAATATGAGAAAGGATTTTGAATTTCAATTTATATTCAATGATCGAAATTTATAGGACATAATGGAACCAAATCCACCAATCTAGGCTGCAATGTAATTCACGATTTTCTGTGATCAAAAAAATTTCTTTTTGAAAATCAAATCAACCACAATTTTAGAAATTGATATTTTTTTAGAAAAAATAATGAATTCATTAATTTAATGGTATTAGCCGATTTGATGTTCAAAAGGCTTCAAATTATTTGCAAATACTAAAATTAATTTATTATTATTAAACTGCCGTACTTTATATATAAAAAATATGCAATTTGATAATCTTATTTCTGTTAAAAAATTCTTTAATTTGTGAAAATGAAAATGTTACAACCCGTTCTTGCGCAAATAAAATATTAACGATTTTATAATTAGATTAGTTTTTTGTTATTTTTTTAATAAGAAAAATATAAAAAGAATTAAAAATATAGTATATTTTGATTATTAAATGAACTGTAATTTATTTTATTAAAAAAATAAAAGCATCCGATTAAAACAACTGTAGTAGCCGAGTTGATGTTAAAAGAGTTTTTGATTTTTTGTAATTTTTTTTTTTAATTTGTGAAATGAAAAAAGAAAAATGAAAAAAGAACAGTCTAATCTTGAGCAAAATTAATAACAAACTTCACTTAACAAACTTCACATTTAAATGCAACAATTAATGATGCACATTTATAAATATAAAAATAAAATAAAAACTTGCTATTAATAGCATGCAATTAATGCTCAACTATTTTGACCACAGTTTGACTTGCTATTTTTAAAAATTGGTAATTCTTTTATATATATATATATATATATATATATATATATATATATAGATTGGGTATGCAATATTAATTTAGAAATATCCATGTAGTTCTTAAAATGTTGATATGCAATACGTAAAAGAAGATTTTTTTAATTTTTTTAAATATAAAATATTGCAACACATAAAATAATTCCAATTATTTTTTATTTTATTTTACATATAAAATCTATATGCATCCTACAAAGTTGGATGAAAATAAAAAGGGGGTGTCTATATGTACACCCCCTTGTGTGTAAAAAAGTGGTGTACATATAGCATTGCCCTTTGTGTAATTTATTAAAAAAGGGTGTACATATAGCATTGCCCAATAAAAAAGTATGTAAAATCTTTACTAAATAAATAAGGCTTTATTTATTATTTAATTTATTATCTAATTGTATGGAAATCTGTTTTGATTTTATGGTACGTACTACAAATTGTGCACCCGTGTTCAGGAGTTACTTAACAGGCAAGCTATGTGGAAATAACTCATTTAGTGCTTCTGTTCCGTGCATACAGTATGTATTTGTATTACACATACTAAAAAATGTGCACCCCGTGCATCGCACGGACTCTATACTAATAAATGACCTTAAAATTGTGTACCCCGTCCATCACCCGTGTTTACATTTTGGTTTATTACATGTCACGTACTATATATATTCCGTACATTTTTGTTTATTCATTTATATAATTATAAGACTTGATAAATAATTTTTGTGCACCCATACATCGAATGAGATCTATACTAATATTATTTTAATATTCACATAATTTTAATTAACAATTAGTCTGTACAAAATTTTTCACATTTAACCAACTAAAACAAAAAATTCAATCAAAGCAAAACAAATTGAATAGTTTTCCGGTGTGTCCTTGAAATTAGCAATACACCTACCTTCATCGTTCCTCTTCACGTTTGCTTTTCTCAGATCGAAATTCAAAACCAAGCTAACTATGGCGAGCCGGACATCGGAGCTTGTGGGTCGGGTCGACCCGGCTCAGAAATTCGACGTTGATGCTCTGCTCCGTTATGCGGTCTCCCATGTTGATGGGTTCCCTCAAAATCCATCTCAATTCACTGTTTCGCAGGTTTTATTTCTCTACATGGTTCTTTTTCCCTATTTTCTTTTAATAAATAATTTACATTTTTTCTCCTCCTTGTTCTTGGGCTGGTGTCAAATTCTTGGATTTCTGCAGAAGTTCTGTAAAAAGTATGTGATTGACCAGTAGCTCTTCTAGTATTACAGAAGTTCAAGAGCCATGGAGTTAGCAAGAAATGTTTGTGTTAAGCTAATGGGATGTAGCAAAATAATTGTTTTTTTTTTTTTTTTT